TAGATAGATAGATAGATAGATAGATAGATAGATAGATAGATAGATAGGTGGATGGATGGATGGATGGATGGATAGATAGATAGGATTAGAGATAGATAGATAGATAGATAGATAGATAGATAGATAGATAGATAGATAGATAGATAGGATTAGAGATGGATGGATGGATGGATGGATGGATGGATGGATAGATAGGATTAGAGATAGATAGGTAGATGGACGGATATAGATAGATAGATAGATAGATAGATAGATAGATAGATAGATGGATAGATAGATAGGATTATAGATAGATAGATAGATAGATAGATAGATAGATAGGACTAGAGATAGATAGATGGATGGATGGATGGATGGATGGATGGATGGATGGATGGATAGGATTAGAGATAGATAGATAGATGGACGGATAGATAGATGGACGGATAGATAGATAGATGGATGGATGGATGGATGGATAGGATTAGAGATAGATAGATAGATAGATAGATAGATAGATAGATAGATAGATAGATAGATAGATAGATGATAGATAAATAGATGCCATGTTTTCACAAAAAATAAGACCCAGTTTTATTTTCATTTGGACTCCAAAATAAGCACTAGGGCTTATTTTGGGGGATGTCTTATTTTTTCCCTATGTATTGGAGGCCCACTTGTTCTGCTTGCTCGCGGTGGGGGTAGGAGGCCAGTGCTGTGGCCGCGCAGCAGGGGGGGGGGTAGAGCTGCCCCACGCACCCCACATTAACTTACCTCGGGGCCCCTCTCAGCCAGGCCACCCATGCCCCAATACTTGCCTCACCTCGTGGCGGTGGCTCCAGCAGGCCCGTCCAGCAGGATCCTGCATGGCTGCTGAGACAGTTCTTCTTCTGGCTTGTGGCCATAACGGAGCAGGAGGCTGAGTAATGCGACGCTGCCGCAGCCATGAGACAATCGTGAGGGCACAGATGGCCTGGCTGTGAGGGCCCTGTGGTAAGCCAGTGTGGGACTCATGGAGCGGCTCCACTCCGCCTTCACCACACCTCATATTGATGGCACCGTGAGGAACCAGACAGAATGGGCGGGCAGCTGGCTGCACATGCTTAAGCAGGTGCTTAAGTAGGGCTTATGTTTTTTTGGGGGGGGGGAGGGAAGGGCTTATAACACCACACTTAGACTTATAGACCGCTTCACAGTGCTTTACAGTCCTCTCTAAGTGGTTTTACAGAGTCAGCCTCTTGCCCCCAACAAGCTGAATCCTCGTTTTACCGACCTTGGAAGGATGGAAGGCTGAGTCAACCTTGAGCCTGGTGGGATTAGAACTGCCCAAAATTGCAGGAAGCCGTTAACTGCCTATATTGCAGGAATGGTCTGTAATATAGCACACTAACCACTGTGCTCTATATTAGGCACACACGTAAAAAAGACATGCTAGGGTTTATTTTCCGGGTAGGTCTTATTTTGGGGGAAATGGATGGATAGATAGATAGATAGATAGATAGA